TCATGTTTGGACTCGTTGGAAAACTAGAACATTTAATTCCATAAAAATTAAAAACTGTTAGAGCTAATAAGTTACAGTTTACTTTTCTCAGTAACATGTAGATATGAGTCAGCTTTAAAAAAAAAAAAAAGTACTTTCTTATAAAATTGCATAATGAATTTCATTTCAAAATATATTATTTGAAATCTCTCTTTTGTACTATTTTTCTCCCTAAAAATTGTTATTTTATATGGCACAGTTTTAGTAAAGAACAAGTTTCCTATGAGACATTCAGTAATATATTTATTATTTTTTTATCAGAAGATGTACAGATACAGCTAGCAGCTGACTATTGCTTTAAGAGAAGTAACAACCAAAGATTATCCTCACCACACTGGCAAAAATGAGCGACAAAATTCCATGTTCTCTTTCTCAAGAACTGTAATCACTCACAAAGCATTGGTCATCATAGTACACAGGCATTTATTGTCTGACAAAAAAATGTTTCTAGACTCCTATCATTAATTCACAAACTTTCACCTTGGGAAAGAAGCATATAGAACCTAGGACTCTAATTATCAAAGATAAATTTCACTAAAATATTTGACAAAACAGCAAGACACTACAGAAAGGCACTTAAATTCTACAATGCACCTTGATAATGTAGGAAGTTATTTTCACATACTCTAAACTATGCTCATGTTTAGGCACGAAATCCATGCGGATGTCCCATAGGGTAAACAACAGCAATAAGTAAAACAAAATCAGCAAATCCCTCCAGTTTACTGTAACTACACAATTAATTTGTGTACATTCTCTTGAGAAACATGTTTGTTCTGTGCTCTGCATTTTGAAGTATTCACAGTAAACCAGAAACTAACAGAACTTCTTATGTTTTAAACACAAAGTACACTGTCTTTCTACTTACAGCTTTGTAAGTGCACCACCTTGGAGAAGAAACATGATCAATAATTACCTGTGAGACCACCAAAAGGAGTTTTGTGTAACACAAGAGGGAGCTGAGGGGAAGATGAAGGAAAATATCACTGCATCTAGAAGTAGCAGTGATTTAAAGGGTCAAAAGACAAGTCAGGTTCAGACAGAGGGGCTCTTCCAGCTCCACTGGTAACTCAGCTTGTCAAAGTCCTGCAAACATATTCCTGGTATGTGAGAAGAACGGTAAATACAGGAGGTGAGCTAACTTGCTTTCATCAAGGGTCTGAACGATCATAAATTACTCAACATTGACTACAGGGGAAAAGCAGGTAGTTTCTGTCAAGCAGCAGATGTGGAATGAAGTCTTTCCCTAGCTCACCCACTGAAATTACGTGTGTCCTTTCTCTAAGAAATAACAACCTCAGCACTTTGCGCAGCTACAGACAAGATGAATTCAGTTTTCTTAATCTTATTAAAGCCAACGAGGAAGACTTTAACATAATTGCAAGATAAAAACAAAGGACCAATTTCCTCTGAAGACAAAGTTGCCTTCATCCCTGCTTTTCAGCCACAGTCCCTTTTTCAATGAAAATGAGCACATTCTGTTTCATTAAGCATTACATAATAAGGTACTACGTAACACATTACAGAAGAAAAAGTATTACGTATTAAGTCATTAAATGAAACAGCAACACATGTTATGTTTTACAACTAGATCTGACCTTCCTAATTTATATTGGGAAGCAACAGGAAGTGAGCCCACCGATCTTGATGGAAAGACAAAGGCTAGTCAAAAACAGAGTTAGGTGGACAGCATGCAGTCTGGCTGCTAATACAGAAACACTTCCTAGTCAAAATAAATATGCTGATAGATGCTACATATTATTAGTTCCTCTGGAGTCATTACAGAAATTAATGCACTGAGATTCAAATAGAAATTAAAAACAATAGCTCTAATATTTTTCCAATTGTATCAGTTAGATATTAGATCTGCTTGTAAGTCTTCCCCTGCCTATAAACTTAAGCCATCCTAAGAGATTATCAGGATATTTCACTGTTAACATCTTCTTGAAGTAAATGGAGATAGATCCTTCCAGAATGGGCAAAAACTGCTGTTATGAATACTTACTTCATATACATACACGAAGAAAAGGAGTTATAATAACAAAAATAATGGTACTCCATGAAATGTAAAATTAATGAACTAAAAGTTACCAATAATGAGCACAAATGCTATTTAGCTTTAGCAGGGACTGTATGTGTTTATCCTTTTAGCTGAACGTAAGCTTTAAAGAGCAGACTGAGAAAGACTGCAGTGGTGAACTTCAAACTGGGGTGATTCTTTTTTTTTCACCTCTACATGGATACTACCAGTTCTTGATTTCCTACCAGTAAACAGAAAAAAATAAACAAAGCTATATTCTAATTTCTCTAGGTAGGATGGAGAAAAGACTCAAAGGTAAAAGTGCAAAACCTGCACAGTTTTTTAGGTAAAGAACAAACAATAAGGAATTCAATCATTGTTTCCCAGCAACACACAGATGTTCAGCCGCTCTCAGGGAAGCAGGGCTCATAACATATAGCAGTTTCTTGGAAAGGTAAACGCTATCACTCTGAATGTCTCTCACCTTCTCCATCTGTACACCAGATTCTATGGCTGAGTATATGCCATATGCTAAGGGACATCCCTTTGGTCAGTCTGGGTCAGCTGCGCTTGTATCCCCTCCCATCTTCCTAACTGGCAGGGCAGTATGAGAAACAAAAAAAAAAAAAAACAAAACATCTTTGAATGAGCACTGCTCCACAAGAACTAAAAATGTCTGTGGGTTATTGCTATTATATTCATCAAAACTTAAAGCACAGCATGAAGTAAGGCTCTACAAAAAGAATATTATCCGCACCCTAGCCAAAATCATATCTTAGGCTATGTTGAAAAACAGTATTTCATAACTGAGAATTCCCCCTATCTAATACTATTATTGTAGTTATTGTAGCTGTTGTGATTGTCATTGAAGTAGGAGGCATTACTTTTGAATTTACATACGTAAATACAAACACTGGCTTTCATGTTTTTAAAGCATGAAGATGAAAATGACTAACATTAAAGACTTGTTTATAATTTAAAAAATATTTTTACTGCAGTACAGAACTCAAATTTGGAATGAGTCATCCCCTGATCATGGCTGGGTATGTATTTATGAAGACAGAAGGAATGTGTACAAAACGGACAAATTTAAATTTACTAAACAGAAAGAGTCATAATCACTTTTTATTATTAATTTTTCAGAAATGATCCCTTATTTCTCTGTAACCCTAGACATAATCATAGTCAGCCATTTTTGTATTGCAGTGGTTTTACCAGTTTATTGCTACGCCACAACATACACTTGAAGACACTGAGTTATGAAACAGTAGCATCTTCTTCCTACAATTATTAGCTTGGGGACAAGAATTAAGGAGTGGAGATTATTGCAGTCACTGTGAATTTCAACACAATGCCTTTCAACCTCAAATTTTAAGATGATTTACTGAAGTTTCATATTTGTTGAAGAGGCTTCTTCAGCTGAGAGTTTTGAAGAAGTACAAGAAGATGCAAGACACCTTCAATTTACTAGTGTAAACATTTTTTTCTTTAAATGAATCAAATTTCCATTATGCTCACAAAAGCCAACACTGAATGAGACAAAACCATTTTTGTGACAATGTCCAAGGAGGCCTAGGGAATACAACAAGAATAGAAAAGCATGAGATCCTTCCCCTAGAACTTTTGTGAACTCCAATTCCAACTAATGAAGTTCTCAAGTTAGATGTAATTTTCCATATAATAGACGCTACCAAACTGATTCCTACCAGGTTTCATCTGACAGTCCACATCTTATCTGTGCTACACTTAAGTGAATTATCAGATTGTCTGAGTCCCCATGCTTCACATATCACTTGTGAAGTTTTATATCTATTCATTACTGTCTACCAACGTTTCCCTCTTGTAAATATAATGAAATTAAGAACTTCCCTCTTGGGGGGAAAAAAAAAAAGTTTTATTTTTAACACGATCAACAAATGTGTCTTCAACAATTACAATATAATGAGTACTTTTCAACATAGAAATAGATCTCACAGTTCAAGGTATTCCTATTCTTACAAGAATCACTACAATCTGAGAAGTTTATCATCATAATCAGCCTTTAGAGAATAACTGATTACAGTATCAAAGTACCACACAAATCTCTGCAGTTGCTCAGTATTAAAGCACTTCAACTTGAAGATAAACTAATCATCCCAGAAGATAAATGAATGGATGTTTCCATGTTTCTCTCAGTATTTAAAAAACTTATCTTGGGATAAATAAACTTGAAGACAGCAAAGAAGTAAAAGTCTTCCATCCAATTTTGTACAATTGAGGCTAAGGAAGTGTTATTATAATACGTTAAGAATGTGCCTGTAGGACCTAATTCTACTAAAATAATTTGAGTGTAGTTAAAAGCAAATGTAACAGCTTTCAGCAAAAAGCAGAAATACGTGGTACTGGAAAAGTACGTACACTTCCCTCAGGAGACCAATCTTGCTTTTAATGAATTATTTAAATTAAGGATAAATATGTGTAAGACAGTTTTTCCAGAAGTTACATTTACCACAGATTCCCCACCAGAATGCTGCAGTGAAAAATCCCAGAAAGAGAAGGGACAAAGAGTAGACAGCTCACAGCTAATTGCATTCTAGCTAAGTCATATCTCGAAGGCTTCCTGAATAACTGAAGAGAACAAGTGGAATAAAATGGATTTTGAAAGGAGTGCTTAAAGTCTGAAAAATTTAATGTTTTAACTGGATTGATAACATTCTACAAGGATGCTACTTTTGAAAGAAATAGGCTTTTCCTTCTGTAATACAAGGAATTTAATGCACACGCATACAGACAACATTCTCCTGCATACATATTGAGAGGAAGTCCTGCTGATCAATTCCTATTGTTACATGAACTTGAGAAAAATCATGTTAAGGAGGAAAAGGAAAATGAGATTGCACAAAATAAAGGACGTAATGGGGGAACTGAATAAGAATGTGTTCATCACACAACACTAGCACAGTTAAGGTGAATTTAATTATTTTATTAGGACAAAAATAAAGTCTGGAAGAGTCCAAGATTACCCTCAGAATCATCTTAGGCAAAAGGTAGGATATACACATTAGACCAAGATGTATGTGAGTCAGGCACTGTTCCACTGATCAGGGAAAGTCCAAGGGCAGGAAAAAACACCAAGATATCTACTGCAGAACTTCCAAAGGATAGTTGTAATGAAGGCAGCTGGAGAAAGAGAACCACCGGCCTTTTCAGTAAAATAGTTCAGATGGAATATTCAGAAGCTGTTTATATGAACAACTGATTTCTGAATTACTGTGTGGGACAGGAGTACTCTGTACTCCTGCACCAGACGAAGGAAGCATAAGAGGTCACAGATCACCTGTAATGTTACAAGCAATGAAAAGAATGTTGAGAGCATCTTTTGGATTACATGAATATTACTACATTAATTTATTAAAAAAATAGCTTTGCCCCTGATAAAATCAAATATGATTTTTACAAATGTCTAAGGAAAGTGATTCATGAGCATTAGAAAAAAAAAATGATTTGAAAAACCTGGCATTAAAATAAAAGATTAGTAAAATAACAAGATTAATGCACTATGCCAGATGATAAATCGGAAAAAAAAATAATCATCTACTGTCAGGGTAAAGTAAAAATAACCTAATAAAACCTTTTCCAACCACGATAATTGTGTTAAAAAAAAAAGTAGTAGTTCACTAAAAACATTTCAGTGTGACAGGAAAGAGGGTATCTCTTCATAACTCAACAGGGAACCTTACATAACTAGAGATCTAGTAGGATCACTGAGTAATTCTTATAATATGGCAGATTTATTTTCCTACAAAGAAAGGATGCATTTCTACCTTACAGAATGAAAAACATGAATGGAGCATATAAATATCGTTAAAACAGTGACACTCAAGGAGAGCATTGTTTGTATTTGCAATACATCTGTGAAGTATTTATCTTAAAACATGTACTTAAAACTGTGTATTTGATCAGGAAAACAAACTATACACAAAAGCGTATGGAAAAGCTCCCTAACTTCTCATGAAATATTATTCAAGTCTTATCTTCCAAGTAGGAAGCTGATAAAATTACATCAGAGAATATTATGGCAATGCAAATTCCATTACTATATATTTCTCTACAATATTTCTTTTTAAACCTTGCAGTTCTATTCTAGCACAGTCTCTGAAAATGTATATAAATACAGCTAATATTACAGTGTCTTAAAAATATTAGCTTAGTGGACAAATATGTACTTTTGGATAAACAGCACATGACCTTACAACAGCCATTCTTCTAAATGTTACAGCACTACTAATATTGTTTCAATTAAATAAAAATTAAAGCTGAGAAAATATCACAAAAGGGTAATCTAATATTTGATCATTAATGCGCTTATGTAAAGTGATATTTACAACAGCATTTTGTGAACTTGGCAATTTCTCTAAAAAATGTAGTTTTAATAAATTTTAGTAGACTGAATTGCTGTATTACGCACATTATCATCAAAAACTCTGTCAAGTTTCATGTAAAATCAGTTCTTGAGGCATATGAGGATGAAGTGCCTTTTTTGCCTTTCACTAAACAACCCTTTACTTTTAGATCAGACTGAAGATTTCATTTAGAGACCTCTCAGATTAAACAAAGCCTAATATAAAATATATCATATTGATATCACTGACACAACCCATTTCAGGATTTTTAGGAGACCTATTCTTTATTTCCATTGGGAAACTCTGAAAGCTAGCAATTGTATCCATACCTACGTACTTTGCAATCAAGGATAGCTTCCACAGATTAACTGATTGCCTTCCAACAATATCCATTCCACTACCTATGAGAAACAGGAGAAAAGCACTTGGTATAACTGATAACCAGTTGTTCTTTCAGGAAAAAAAGCTTATTTCTTCTCTCTCTCTCTCTCTCTCTCTCTCTCTCTCCACTCCTGCATAGAGTAAGGACAGAAAAACATGGGAGCTGTGATGCGCAGAACTACCTTGAGGATGGAAAGCAAAGTACAAGATAAACCTAAACTAATAGCATCTGAAGCATCACAATAATTACATGAAATTTAGTTCCTCAAGTGTATCCGAGTTTGATTTTTGAGAAAGGCTTGGGATTATATCTGCCCCCCTAAGTCTGAAGAGATAATTATCTTAACCATATTTCAGCAAAGCATTTTTTTTTTGCTGCAAGTTTTTAAGAACTTCAATTTCATTTTAGTTACAGTTCAGTTTTTCAGATCAAACTAGAAATTTGCTATAACATTACCCAGAAAACTTTTGTTTAACACTGTTAAAATTTAAAGTGTTAAAATTAGCCCTGTGAGGGGTACAGAAGGATCAGAGACAGCAACTTTTACTTCTTCATATTTTGAAGATAATATATGATAGACCATATTTACGTAAAGCTTGCATCTCAGAGTTTCTGTTGCCCATAATAAATGCAACAGATCTCCCTAGAAATGCTTGCCTTCCTATATTACATTACTGGGTGGGCAGCCAGATGTTCTGTTCTACTCAAACACAGAGCATGCTGGCATCATGGACATGTGCTTAAGAAATCAGCATCCAAATGAGAAGGAAAGACTCTAATTAGACAGCAAGATATTAATTACTAGTATCCAGCAGAGAAAGCAGAGGTTTCCTTACTGTCAATACACTGCTGTTACAATAGGGAATTGTACTTTTTTTTTTTTCCCCTCTAAACCTTTCATCAACTAGATAATGTTAACACATAATATTGCCTATTTGTAAATATGAACTTAGACAAAGTCCTAGCTGTTAAGAATGCTAACATTTGCCTGTTTTTCATACAACATTCTCACAGATAGGAAATAATGATATATTCTGCATCAAATATTTCCTCTGTTAGAATAGCTGAATTTTCTAAAGCTAAGTCTGAAAAAAAGCAAAAACCCACAACCCACAGTGAATCAAGTTTCCAGAGTTGTAAGAGCTCCAGACCCTTATAAGTAATAAGTTCAGGATTTCCCAAGTCTTCAAAACATGCTAGTTTTGGGGATATATCCCATGGGGATATATTCCTAAAAGTAAGATCCTAGTCTTAAGCACAACTCTGGAACTGAAGGTGGCTTTTTAATTTTTATTTTAAATCCAACTCTTCTCCATTTGTCATCAAGAGAAGCCATACCTACAGGACCTAGTCTTAAATGCCATTGTTCATATTTAATCAAAAACGGAGATTTTATTTTCATAAGATATTAGGCATCATTTTCTCTTAGGGATAAACTTAGTTATTGCTTATACTTTCTACAGGAGAGTTTCCTCTTTCATCCCAAAGAAATCATGGCAGATACAGAAAATGTTGTTCAGAAAGATGATGGGAGATTATAATTAGGTACAGTCTTCCACTCAGTACAGTCCAGAAGAAAAAATAAAAAAGCTTGTTATCTTGGATCTGCAAGAATCCTTTTTTGTGTTCCTAATACACTGTATTTCTGACAGTGCAACACAGCTTTTCCTTACTTTTTAAAATCAAACAAAAGTTTTACTCAAAATCACCTTCTTTTCCTGCGTGAACAAGGAGAACGCATGGAAGAACTGAAAGGGAGATTTCACAGGCAAAAAAGCTGTTGATTACTTTTGCATCATGGCAGGTACAACACTCAGATAAACAGAGGAGGATGCTTAGTCATGGAGGATGGCAAATACTCTTGTGACCATGGAATCACATATAGCAAGGATCTTTCTGTTCTATGAAATTTATCAAACCTCCAGCTGCCGGTTCATGAAACATCACAAAGCTTTGCCTCTATGTTCCATGGTGAGTCCTGTATGCAGTCTGTCTTGATCATTTAAATATGCAGATTTGTTCTGACTTAGTCATCTGCTTCCACTGTTTTATACTGTCAGGCAATCTTTCTTGTTTTAGGATTACCAGAGTGTTCTCTTTAGCAAGAATGAAATATGCAATCCAGCTTCAGGTGAAGAATGAAGTAACTTGTGGTAGTGCCAAGTTAATTAGGGCCAATTATAACTTGATTGACTTACTTTGGCATTAGAATGACTAGGAATGTGCTAGATAGAATTTCTGCATCTATACAAATTTGTGATTTATGGGAAGCTGTTCCATGGATTGTGAAGCTCATTCCATTTGCTAAAACAAAAGTGTCCAATTTGGGCTAGCAACTGTTTTCTTATCCTTGAAGAAACAGTCAAATAACGTCAAAATGACGGACTCTCCCAAGCACAGCTGCTCTGTTTCCTCATGCCTCCCCTTTATTATTACTTTTTGCAGAGCCTCCCTAAATAGTTTATAATTCTGAGTTGTATTTTAGACTTGAAAACTGCAGTGCTATCAGAAAGTCATTCCAGGAAGTTACTGACCTAAGCCTTCCTTTAGAAAAACTTGGAATATAAGTCTATCTAGTCTTTATGAATGGAGAATCTATCAACTCTTTGCTGCAATCACAACTCTAAGGCTCTGAAAAATAGAGACTTCAGAAACTTTCAGTGTACCTTCCATGCTCACCCAAGTTCCACAGACCACTCTTCAAAACACTACTGCTGTGAGATATCCTTAATAATCATATTATTCTTTGAATATCTAAACAGCCCAAGAACACAAAGAATCATTAAGACAATAACATACCTAAGTGTACTAGCCATTTTTACCATATAATCATGAATCTATCTTGATTCCATTCATTTTCTCTATTCCTCAGTCATCATATTTGATGTTACTATCCATAAAATCGCTCATAGCGTTTATATTGTGGCTTTGTTTTAAATATAATCTTATGAAAATTAGAATTGAAATTCTTAATACCGTTTTGCCACATAGAGAAATTACTCTGATCTCATTTCACTTGTGGTAATAAATCATCTACCTTGAGAGAAGTAGGCAGATTTTGATCTCACATCAGTCAACATTACAGTACTAACACAGGCCAGAAGGCATGTAAGTCATTAACAGACAGTAGATATTACATTTATAAATAAATCAAAGCTAGCATTGAGAGCATGCTGGTTTTTATTCTGATTTTTCCTCACCTTTTCTTCTCATTATCTATATCAACTTTCCACACTATCTATACAAATCTCCTAATATTTTCCACACTGTCTGCTCATCTGGTATATTGCTTTTCAAGTAGTCTTCTTATTCATAATGTCTCTTTTCACTGATGGTTTCATTTGATTATTTAAGAAACAGAGTCCAAGTGTCAACTCTTTTGCTTAATATAACATACCTGCAGTATGTTGCAATAAGAAGCATTTCCTACAGCGAGTCTTTTTGAGAAGACCCTAATGCTTCTTTTCCATGTAGTAGTTTAATGTGAAATAATTTTCTAAGATTAATTCTATGCATCATTTAGATGAGTTAAATCCCAAGTAAGCCAGCCCT